CAATATATATGCTACCGGAAAATCCAGCAGATCTCTCAAGAAAAGGAGGTTTAAAAACAGTAGCTCCTACTGCTATTAATGCATTACTCTTCAAGTACGAATTGTGTTCTCCAGGCCACTGACGTATTTCGCATAGAAATACGTTAAAATTTTTCTTCCTCTCGTGCGACAATAGCCTATGTGTAGGATCTCTGACTGACTGACGTCATATCAGTTGGGTTTCGATCAATGGTGTATCTAGTCACACTGAAGAGCCGTAATACAACGAGAAAGTCCGTCTGTAGATCAATATATATATATATATATATATATATATATATATATATATATATATATAAAAATATCCTTCCTCTTGGAAATTTTTTTTTTTTTTTCTGAAAATATACATGTATAGGAATTTTTATATATATTTTGTATATGTATGTATATTTTCCACTAATATATATATATATATATATATATATATATATATATATATATATATATATATATCCTACACTCTATTTGTATATCAACCTTCCTATTTCTATCTTTTATCTCTGTCTATCACTATACACACACACACACACACACATATATATATATATATATATATATATATATATATATATATATAAAGTTTAAGATAACAAAAGGAGAAACTTTATAAAGAACTACAAAAGACAGGAAACTGTGGAGAGCCATGACCACCTACGTCCTGAAGGGATACGACACGTAGAAATAGAAGAATGAGCTTGAGTAAATGGATCGTGCAATAAGGTTTAGAAGAAATAACAAAAAGACAAATTTTATTAAGAGCTACAAAGGATAGGAAATTGTGGAGAGCCATGATCGTCAATGTCCTGAATAGACATTGCACATAGAAAAAGAAGAAGAATGAGCTTGTTTAAATGGTTGGCCGAAGAGGTTTTAGGAGAGATAACAAAAAGACAAAATTTATTAAAAGCTACTAAAGACAGGAAATTGTGGAGAGCCATAATCGCTAATGTCATGAATAGACACGGCACATAGAAGAAGAATACTACTGTACTGTACTGATGCGGCATTCACCCTGGGCGGATTGAGCCGGCTTCTTCCTGTTATGAGAAGAAGATTCTTGGGATAAATTACAGAAGTAGGGTACCCAGGCCTACTCGGATAACGTTCTTGCTTGCCGCGGGGTTCCCACAGACGCAGAGACAGGAACGACCAGAAGCCGCCGGTTACCGATGCAGACGCTCCTTGGATTTTCACCAGAGCCCTTGTTAGCCGGCGTGTCTGTCAGACCTGTCCGCCTTGGGTGGCCCTACCAGGAACGAAGTTCCGGGCGGCATAGCTCTGACACTACCGTCAAATCACGCTGAAACACCGGTTCTCGTACGATCACCGAAGTTAAGCAGCGTAGAGCCAGGTCAGTACTTAGATGGGGGACCGCTTGGGAACACCTGGTACTGTAAGCCCCCAAAGTCCAACCCTTACCTCACAGTCGGTGGGGGGGTGTAAACGGTAGTGTCAGAGCTATGCCGCCCGGATGGAAGAAGAATGAAGAGTTTAATCATTCGGAAGAACTAGGTTTAAGAAAGACAATAAAAGGGAAACATTTTCTAAGAGCGACAAAGGTCAGGAAAGAGTGGAGAGCCATGAACATTAACGCCCTGAAGGGACACGACATCTGAAGAAGGAGTTGAAGTGAATGAAAACGGGTAAAGGACCAGGAAGATAACTGATAATTTCTGGTATTTTTTTTAATAGATTTTTTTTTTTGAGTTCATCACAATACAATCACATGATACAATGTTTATTAATGTAACGGGTTATGGTGTGTATGTATTATTACGCTAGGGGTTAAATTTATATATCTACAACCCTGCACACACACACACACACACACACACACACACACACACACACACATATATATATATATATATATATATATATATATATATATTTTTATAGTTAGTTAGACATCAATGTTTCGGCAAAAGTGTACAGTTCGGTATATGTTGGTATCATAAAAGCAGTATTGTACAAAAAGATAGATAAATGAATGTCGTTCACAGTATGGTATAAAATTAGTATATTGTGCACAAATTATATATATATATATATATATATATATATATATATATATATATATATATATATTTTACAGAAATATCTTTGTCAGGGACAAGGATTATATATATATATATATATATATATATATATATATATATATACTATCTATCTATCTATCTATCTATCTATCTATATACATCATATACATATATATATATATATATATATATATATATATATATATATATATATATATATATATAAGTGAGCAGGTATGCAGAAAATAGAAAAGAATACGTTGGGTGCATAATCCGGGTTCCTTAGTATTTTTGTTTTTATTTTTGAGAAGACAGTGCTCCATACAGAAGTAGAGCTTTATTATAATAATATTTTTTGTTTAAAAATATGATTCCTTCGCTACATAAGAGTTCTCATGTTTCAAAACGAGAGCTGAAACCATCCAAATAATTATTAAAATTAGGTTGAATTTAGGTGTTTAGTCCCGTTTCATCTTCAAGCGAAATTTTAGGAATAAGCTATCTCTCTGTTTACGTGTGTTTTTAGGCATGGTCCGTTACAGAATTCGTTATTGTGGGAGTGGCTAGACTATTTTCCTTCGTTAAGTGGTCAGAGAGTTAATTCTTATCAATAGATTCATCATCTTCTGAGAGGTTTTGCTAAGGTTGGGTAGGGTATCTATTTCAAGGCTAATGTTTGTGGTCACCCTTTAGTTGGTTCCCAGTGAGGGTTATTTTTATGGCACGCCTACAAGTCGTTATGTGTTTGGAGAATTGTCTTTTATTATTGTCCATCTGATTATCTATTTATTTATTTGTTTATTCAAGTGGGTGTTTTATATACAAATCGTATTGCACTGAATTTGAATTTGTTTTTTTTTGTTTCTTTTGTTTTTTTTTGAAGACTACAAAAAGGGTTTTTCCTATTTAATGATTTGGCTAAGCTTTTAAGACTTTTATTTAGCTATGAGATTTTTTTATGCTAATTATTTAATGCGAAAGTTTGTTGATGTCGGCAAAAAACCGTTAACTCCTGCCTATGGTTTAATAATTTTTCATTATTAATGATGTGTAGTTTTCCTGTAGGCATAAAGGGCATGGATCATCCCAGGTTTTACAAGTTCTTGTTTTATTTACTTTTTTCCATTTTACTTTTGATGTTTCATTCGTTTCTTTTAGATGCCAGAAATATTGAGATAGAGATGTCTGATTTCTATTTTGAATATTGTTGAAGGAGCTCTTGTGTTGCCTCCATCTAATTTTAAAATTATTCTTCGTTGAGCCTATGTATATCCTGTCAGTGTTAGGACTCTCAATGGATGAGATCGTGCATTGGTATGCCACGGATTTTGTGAGGCATTTATTTTCCAACAGGCAGTTTTTAGGGTTTCTACAATCACATAATTTTTCGTTATTTTTATCTAATTTTAGTTTATGAGTTTTATTACTTTTTTGGTATGCGTGTTTTTCTAGGATTTTCTTTTTATGATTCTTTCTATATTTTCAGTGCAGCTGTAACTCAATTTTAAGGTGTTTTTGTTAAAGATGTCGCTAAGTTTTCTATTAGTGGGAAAGTGCTTTTCAATTAAGCTACGTAAATTGCTCAATACACTAAGTGAGCATATATATATATATATATATATATATATATATATATATATATATATATATATACATGAATTATTCACACAAAAACTAATGCAAAGGTTAATGATTTTAATGGCGAGACATCCATCATCGCAAATAATTCAAATAATATACAAAAACCTCCGAATCCGTTATGAATGAATTGATCCTTGTTTATATAAATTTCTGCTGTATTAGTTCTTATTTTTACTACAAGCTTTCGTCTGTTCCTACAGACATCTTCAGGTATAGAATAGATGTTGTTCTTGTTTTCTCTCTTCAAGATGATCTTCGCCCTATCTAAACTTTTAAATTTCTGTCCGGGAGTAACAAGTTGCCTCACACCTTCCACATCCGACTTCATTTTCAAGTCTTTTCACTGCTCTTTGAACTGTCATAGCTGAAACTCCTCTCTCACGTGCCAAACGTCTTATGAATTGAGTTGGATCTTTTCTAATTGATCTCTTTAGCCCAAAGTTGAAATGATCCCTCTTCCTGTTGTGACCTTTCTTGAATAGAATTCGAAGATGGAAGATGGAAGAGGGACAGCGGTTATGTTTTTTATATTTTTTTTCTTGTATTCTTATAATTTTCTCCTTTTCTGGACATAAATTATGTAAAGATTGTCCGAATGTTTTATATGTCTGTGCATATAATGTTTTAGCTATTCTCAAGGATGATTTCATTTTCTTTTTTAACTGAATGTATGGTTTGTTTCACATATGGTTTGTTTCATATATGTTATAAGAATGTTTTATTTTCCAATCACGATCAGCACATTGTGGCCGTGTTCATAGTTGATATTATTGAGTGTTGGCTTCTTGGTCTTTTTTAGACGATGAGGCTATTATATTTTGTATTATCAATTAGTATGAGCTTTTAATGAGACACAATATATATATATATATATATATATATATATATATATATATATATATATATATATATCTAAAAAATGAATGAAAATTTGTATATATATGTGTGTGCATGTGTGTGTAACCATGAGTGTGTGACCATATGTCTGTGACCATGTGTGTGTGTGTGTGTGTGTGTGTGTGACACACATATTAGGACGGCTCTTCGATTACCAATTCCGAGCCGTTATTCATTATATGATCCATACATCGAAGCTTACAGCTCCTAGTATTTCAAATCGGTCATCTGTCAAGATACTAACCTGGTAGTATCTCGATGGTACACACACACACAGACACACACACACACATACATACATATATCTATCTATCTATCTATCTATCTATCTATCTATCTATATATATATATATATATATATATATACGTATGTATTTCGCGAAGCAGCTATCTCTTCCTTTTCTTCTTCACCATTCTCTGTCTTCTTCATTTTTCTCTATCTTCTTCCTCCTGCTCCTCCTCCTCTTCTTTATCACCATTCTCTCTTCTTCTTCTTCTTCTTGTTCGTCTTTCTCTATCTTCTTATTGCTTTTCTTCTCTTTATGTTCTACACCATTATATTCTTCTTCTTCTTCTTCACCATTCTCTATCTTCTTCCTTTTCTTCTTCTTCTTCTTTCTCTATCTTCTTATCTTCTGCTCTTCTCTTTATGTTCTACACAATTCTCTATATTCTTCTTCTTCTTCCTCTTTCTTCCCCTTCTTTTTCTTCTTCACAATTCGTTATCTTCTTCTTCACTATTCATTCTTCTTCTTCTTCCTCGTTTTCTTCTCTTTCTTTTTCAACATTATCTATCTTCTTCTTGCTCTTCTTCTCTTTGTTTTTCTTCTTCACCATTCTCTCTCTCTTTTTCTTCCTTCCCAATCTTCTTCACCCTTCTCTCTCTCTTTTTCTTCCTTCCCTATCTTCTTCACCATTCTCTCTCTCTCTTTTTCTTCCTTCCCTATCTTCTTCACCATTCTCTCTCTCTTTTTCTTCCTTCCCAATCTTCTTCACCCTTCTCTCTCTCTTTTTCTTCCTTCCCTATCTTCTTCACCATTCTCTCTCTCTCTTTTTCTTCCTTCCCTATCTTCTTCACCCATTCTCTCTCTCTTTTTTCTTCCTTCCCTATCTTCTTCACCATTCTCTCTCTTTTTCTTCCTTCCCTATCTTCTTCACCATTCTCTCTCTTTTTCTTCCTTCCTATCTTCTTCACCATTCTCTCTCTTTTTTTCTTCCTTCCCTATCTTCTTCACCATTCTCTCTCTCTTTTTCTTCCTTCCCTATCTTCTTCACCATTCTCTCTCTCTCTTTTTCTTCCTTCCCTATCTTCTTCACCATTCTCTCTCTCTTTTTCTTCCTTCCCTATCTTCTTCACCATTCTCTCTCTCTTTTTCTTCCTTCCCTATCTTCTTCACCATTCTCTCTCTCTTTTTCCCATTCCGCTTCTTCTTTCAATAGAGAATTTCATTATTCATATTGTAAATGGAATTTAATCTCTTTTTCTTCTATTTTTCTTTTTCACTTTCAAAGGCAAAACACAATGTAGCTGAAATAATGATGGCGTTAAACATTATTTCTTCTTCTTCTTCTTTTTTTATTCTTCTTCTACTTCTTCTTTTTCTTCTTCTTCTTCTTCTCCTTTTTTCTTCTTCTTCTACTTCTTTTTCTTCTTCTTCTACTTCTTCTTTTTCTTCTTCTTCTTCTTTTTTCTTCTTCTTCTACTTCTTCTTTTTCTTCTTCTTCTTCTACTTCTTCTTCTTCTTCTTCTTTTTTTTTTCTTTTTTCTTCTTCTTCTTCTTCTTCTTTTTTCTTCTTCTTCTACTTCTTCTATTTCTTCTTCTTCTTCTTCTTCTTTTTCTTCTTCTTCTTCTTTTTCTTCTTCTTCTTCTTCTACTTCTTCTTCTACTTTTTCTTCTTCTTCTTTAAGAAGGATAAATCCAGTCTAATAACGTAGTAATCGTAATGGTTTCTGGCCAGCTATTCGTTCTCATTATTATTATTATTATCATTGTCCTTTTACCTTATATCGTAAAATGACTTCATGTTTTGATGTACTTACTATTATTAGAAGTTCTTGTTTACAGGCGAGTTTTTGAATATACATAAATAATGAATAGGACGTTTCGGTGTAGCCCATTTGGCGTCGCTGATTCGGCGTAGCCCATTTGGCGTCACTGATTCGGCGCAACCCATTTGGCGTCACTGATTCGATGTAGCCCATTTGGCGTAGCCAATTCAACATAGGAAATTTTCGGCAAAGGGGCGATTAGGCGTGAGATTACTACTTCGTCGTTAGAGTCAAATTTCTTCTCTCCCTTTCTCTCTCTTGTTTAGTAGTTATTGTGAGACCGGAAACTACCTACACAATAGACTCTTCCAGGTCTATATTAAATATGCGACACAACACTCTAGAGAGAGACACAGAGAGTCAGAGAGACACACAGAGACAGTGAGAGCCGCGTACGTCTACCAGTATTGGACACTAACATATAGTAAGCTCCGCTTACACTATCTCTGTAACCTGTTGTTAATATATCTTTCTTACATCTGATCCGTGTTCCGTGTTTTCCTTCTGTGGTCCCAACTTTGGCCCCATATCAGTAGTCAAATTAGTACTTTGTCATTATGTGCTCGAATAGTCAGATTTAAGAAAAAGAGTAATTTGAGGCATTTTTATATTTAAGTGAAGAAATAATTTCTAAGATTAAATAGATTTACTAAGTTTATATATATATATATATATATATATATATATATATATATATATATATATATTAAAAAATAAATCTAGACGCATCCCTCTAGTAACCAACCACTTTCAATCCCACTCTGCCTCCACTATCCCAAATAATCAAACATCGCTGGGAAATACTACATCTCAAACCAGACCTAAAAAAACTGTTTAAGGAACCCGGCCTTCTGGCATATCGTAGACCTAAGAACCTAAAAGAAATCATAGGTAGTAACCACATTTCAGGGGACAAGGTAATCCGTAATGAACTAAGAACAAAAACAACAGGATTTTCCCAACCATGTAACAACAAAAGAAGTTTATGTTGCAACCATATTAAACATACGAATTCATTCACTAGCTCAATCACTAAATCTACTTTCAAAATCTACCACGATTCTAACTGTAGAAGTCATAACATAATTTACCTCCTAGAATGCACACTATGCCTGAAACAATATGTAGGAAAATCTGAATGGCCCTTTCACTACAGAATTAATAATTATCGTAAGCGAATTAAGTCGACTCCCCATGAAAAATTATTAACTGTAGAACAACATTTCCGCCTGGAAAAACATGATTTCAAAACCCATGCCAAATTCACTATAATTGAGAGAATAGAAAAGTTCAGAGCAGATAACATTAGAAAGATTTTAGAGTCCCATGAAAATAAGTGGATACAACGTCTAAAAACACAATATCCAGCCGGGTTAAATCATAAATTTAACAATATAGATAGTATTAATATGTAACTCAACAAATCAAAACCTACCCACATTTCTCATCCACACAAGACAGACATGTTTACGGAGGTGTGGAGGCCTCACACTTATACACACACCCACAAGAACATACACACTTACACACATCATACTCACTCACTCCCTAATGAGCCAAATGATAACACTCACCCACAGCAATATACACGCTTACACATACCATACTCCCTCACTCCCTAAGAACCAAATAACACACACACAAACACTAAACAGAGACACATCCCCTCACCAGGTCCAATAAAACTGTCAAACTGACCAGAGAATTCAGAGCAACATGTATCTATCCAGCTCTTATCTCAAATAACAACAAAAAAAAGACTGTTTGACCAACACAAGGAATGTTAAAAGATTCATGTTAAAAGATAAAAATAAAAAACAAATGAAAACTACAGACAAAAGTTCATTTTATCCAGCAAAAGACATTAATTTCAGTAGTTTAGTGCTACCAGCAAGCACAAATATTTCTCCTCCTGATGATGGCCATTTCGGTCGAAACTAGTCGAGGAATCTAAATGGAATAATAATAAAAAAAAAACGAAAGAATATTAATCTACAACCCAGTGCATCTAAAGATTTTCTTATTGTTCAAAAATATCAATATCAATATCAATATATATATATATATATATATATATATATATATATATATATATATATATATATATATATATATTTTTAATTTAAGATTTTAATTTACATTATTCTATTAGAGTTTATTACAATCCTTAATTCCCTAAAGGAATAAAGATTCATATTGAAAGTTGATTGTTTTCAATGCTTTTATTATTGGGGGGGTGAGTGGCCTCTGGTCAAAGACAGCGACGTCGAAACAGTCTGATGCCTCATCGACTGTGCTGAATGGTCAAATTATTTCTTCTGACGCCGAATCAACCTCGCCAAACGGGCTACGCCGAAACGTACGAAAGTCGAAGAAATATCAGTGCAAGGGAGATCACTCAAAACGTCAAAAACTTTGAAATATTACATAGATTGATTAGAGACAAACATTATTATTATTATTATTATTATTATGCATTATGTTAAGTATATTGTACATAATAATAATAGTAATTATTATTGTTTTTGTTGTTGTATATAGTGATTTTAATAAGAGCTGACAAATGTAATAAAGACTATAGTAACAAATAGTAAGTAATAAAGAGAAGAAAAAACATGGCGATGATGATGATGATGATGATGATGATGATGATGATGAAAGAGTTGTGAAGTTTGAAAAGACTGGGTTTCCAATAAATTGAATAAGCCTATGTAACACGGAAGGTAAATGCTAACGAAAACCAAAGTCGGAAGCGGAACAGCCCAAAATTCGAATCGGAAGAAAACGAAATGACTTCAAATGGAGAAAATTGAATGAGATTATGGAAAATTGAAATACGCCTTACAAAAGGCAAACATGAGTGACGTCAAGAATCAGATTGCTGAATGAAAAAAAAAATTGAAATACGAAAAAGGGCGAAAAAGAAAAAGAAATATAATGAAAGAAAACGAAAGGAAGAAATGCTGTGAAGAAGAAAAAATAGAAGCAAACAAATTAGCAGAAAGAAAAATGAAGAAGAAAAATAATTAAAGATATATAACAATATAAAAGAAGAAGAAAAAAAAGAAGAAAAGAAAAGAATTAAATGAAATAAAAAAGGAAGGAACCAAAATACGTTTTAAAGTAACAAGAGAATCAAAGGATAAAGAATTATGAAGGAAAGAAAGAAAAATCCAAAGAGGAAGAAAAAGAAACTAAAGAAAAGAAACAAAGAAACAAAGAAAGTGTGTTAAGAAAACAAAATAGGTAAAGAAAATAAAGAGAGAAAAGATGGAAGAAAAAATGAAGAAAGAAGACGACTAAAAAAGAAAGAAAAATAAAAAAAGAAAGGAAAATTTTAAAAAGAATTAAAAGACTGTCACAGACTAATGAAACAGAAAAGTGTCAAAAATAAAAACGAAAGAATGAATAAATGAAAAAAGGCTGAAAGAAAGGAAAGAAATAAAATGAAGAAGAAAAACGAAGTATAGAGAAGAGAAAAGAAGAGAAATGAAGAAAGAAAGAGTTTTAAGAAAAAAAAAGGTAAAGAAAATAAAGAGAGAGCCAGTTGAAGAAAAAATGAAGAAAGCAGACGATTAAAAAAGTAAAAAAAAGAGAAAAGAAAAATGACAGACAAAAATTTAAAAATAATTAAAACAAAAAAGAAAAGAAAGAAGAAATGAAAAAAGATTGAAAAAGGAAAGAAAGAAAATGAAGAAAAGGAAGAAAAAATAAGTATAGAGAATAAGAAAGAAAGAAAGAAAGAAAGAAAGAGAAATGAAGAGGGTTAAGAAAACAGAGAAGATATAAAAAGAAATAAATAAACAACCAAAAAGAAACAAAGGAAAAAACGATGAAAGAAAGAAAAAAATTCAAATGGAAAAGAAGAATGTTTTGCTTTCTATCGGTCGACATTTAAGGTAGCTCCTGTGGGGGTGCTCTTGACTGGTCCTTCGGTTTGTCCAAGAGTTTGAGAATCTCTAACTCTTTTCATATTCTCAACATTAGAAGCTCTGGCTGTGATTTGATCTGGGTTCTCATTTGCAGCAGACTTTCTTTTCCTCGCTTCAGCCGTGGCTTTTTTGATTGCAATCTGTTGATGGAGATTTCTTTCGCAAAGGTATACTGCTGCCATATGTGAAAGGCAACAATAAACTACAGAAGAACACAAAATTAATTGTTGCATTTAAGCATTGCATTAATATTTAAACTTACCTTTTAAAAGGTAAATGCCGCAACTTAATTTAATGAAAATTTGATGTACGTAAGTCCTTACTTTGCCATACAAATAATTATTTTTTCATTTCATGGGTGAATTTCGCTGGATTTCGGAATTAATTTCGATTATTCCCAAATTTATTTTCAATAATAAAAAAAAAACTGTCGAAAAAAATCGCAGTGACGAAAACTTGGGAATCTAAAATTTCTGTAACATGAGCTATTGAAAGTTAGAGAGTTATGCTCCTTTAATTGAAAAAACGTGACACAGTGACACACGGACATTCGCATTCATTATATAGATTAAACCATCGCTGGGGGTGGAAAAAAAGAGTTGGATTTATACTTTCCCAGGGGTATATGCTTAATAGAATTGAACTCGGCTCTCCGATTAACAATCCCCAGCCATTATCCAGTACACCATCAGCACTTCAACGCAGCAGCTGATATTTCCAAGCGTTCGCTCATACATACATACATACATACATATATATATATATATATATATATATATATATATATATATATATATATATATATATATATATATACACATAAATATATATATATATATATATATATATATATATATATATATATATATATATATATATATATATATATATATATATATATATTGTATGTGTATTTTAGCAGCATT